ACTGCTGGGCTTTAGTTACATTTAGGGCATCATATGATCTTCAAAGAGGGGGGCAATTATTTATTATCACCCACCCCTAATTCTTCAGTGATATGACAATGAAGTACTGAGACGTTAGTTACTATTAGCAATTTTTTATGCTTGTTATGAAGAAAAGGACCATAATACACTGAAACAACATTAATCTATGATAATACAGTGGTTATTATGATTTTTATTGAAGAAAATTCTCACATTTGTGGGTTTCTTTGGTCTCTTGTTCTCCATCTTGCCGGTTTTTCTTTCTTTCTCATAACTCTCTGTTTGGAGTCTCTGAAAAACCTCAGTTTGGAGGGTCATGTAGCCCCAACACTTCACCCCACCCCTCTATCTCAACAAGAATCGGGACACCCCACCCCTAGACGTGAACACAATAAACAGAGGGGTAGGGCCGTGCTGTTAGCACCATGTTGATTGATGGGGTGTACGCTTCCATTACTTGTTAGCTATGTTAAGCTCAACCAAAAAACCAAAAAAAAGAAAACTTCAGATAACATGTCTTAGCTGTGAGCTCTTTAATCTCTTAGTCATGTTATCAGGAACCAAACGGTCCCTTCTCTTTGCTTTGGTGTTCTCTGAGAGGAACTCTTACATGTCTCCTATGTAGATCCCTGGTCTGACCTCGTCGAGATGACCGCTGGAGCCAGGCTTGATCCACAGTAACCTCTGCAGCTCAGAGGCAGGCGGCGTCTCGTACCTGCCCTCTCCCATCTCGGCGCAGCGCAGGTAGCTGCTGCCCCGTGGCATGACCCGAATTCACCTGTTACCTGATCCCACAGGTAGACACATGCAACACAGCAGCAACATCGTCAACTGATCTTCATGCACCAACACTGGAATCATGTCCCTCTTATAAAAGGGCAAAAAGTCAACGTTCCCAATGGTCACATTCCCACTTCCTACTAGGTTGTTGCTAGTTTCTATGTTGCTGGCTGGTTGCTAGGTGGTTGCTAGGTGGTTGCTATGGTGTTGCTGTGTGGTTGGAAGGTGGTTGCTATTATGTTGCTAAGTGGATGCTGGGTTGTTGCTATGGTATTACAGGTGGTTGCTTTGTGGTTGCTATGGTGATGCTAAGTTGGTGGCTGCGTAAGTCCACTGCCACCTTAGATTTCCTGCTACCTTAACTTCACCGCTACCTTAAATTCAGTGCCACCTTTAATACACTGCTACCTAAAATCTCCTGCTACCTTAACAGTGTGTGCGTGTGCATTTATGTGGTGTGTGTGTGTGTGTGTGTGTGGTGTGTTGAGTGTGTGTGTTACTGTATTTGTATCATCGTGACACAAGACAGGTGCCAAAACTTTTGCACTCCATTCATTCCTATGGGAAAAAAATTATGCAAAATTCTATTGCTACATGGAAACTGTGCATCCGATCCAGAAAGCTGTGTACAAGCCCGAATCTCGCAATCGGACCAGAGAATCTGGAGTTGGAACAGTGTTGATATCTCTGCGGCAAAAATCCGGCAGAAAAATAAGAAATTTGCTTTGCGATGCGCAGCCATAATTACAGTTACTGCGCAGTAACTTCAGTGAGTGAAGACTGGAAAACTGGAGCTGGTACTGATTTTATTCTACTAAAGAACTAAAACTAAAACTTAAACTACATAAAAACTAAACTAAAGCCATCACTTTTTAGAAAACTGAGAGTATTAATGCACCCTTAACCAACTGGAACTAAACTGTAATCAAAACCAAAATGAAAAAACTAAATGGAAATGTGAGATTATTTGCTTCAAACAAACAACCATCATTCTGAATTATAACACTGTCAGTTTTCTATCTGTGCCAAAGTACATCAGTATAGCCTGTGAAATCAGCCAGATTCTGTCTGAAAAAGCGAACAGATTCATTTCTGTTCATAAATCTGTCTCGTTGACCTGCAGCAGGACAGCAGGGTGGATCTAAGACTGCTACGACATGCGACAGTCCTACAAAACTGAAGTATTTTACAGCTCAGATATCACTACTACACAGTTTAAATGAATGTCTCTGTTCGTTAACAGGCTGTTTGAATTACCTGGTTTGCTCAAACTCCAGAGATCATTGCTGTATCAGCTCCGCTCCCAAACAGGCTCCGAGTGAGAGAGCTGGAGCTGATCGGGTTGCAAGTACGTAAGGGTGAGAGAGAGAGAGTGAGAGAGTGAGAGAGAGAGAGAGAGAGAGAGAGAGATGTCTATAATGCTTTCCAGGAAACTTGAGAATGGCATCAAGCTGAGAGCTTCAGCTGTGTTCCCTGTCCTTAATTTTGTTTGTTTTGCTTGTTGTTCAGCAGATTAACCCCCAACATCAGATGTGGTCAGTCAGCCGAGACGTGTTTGTTGTTTGCTTCTTTAATTTAGCACTGGAGCTACGAGGCTAATGTAGCTGATAAGTAATACAGAGTGCCTTTAACTTTCGGTCAAAACAATCATTAAGTTCAAGCCTCAACAGCTAAATCGACTCTCAGCTGTGTGAGTCAGTGTACCTTTATTCCAGCTTCCACTCTTTTCAGGAGACTCACCTTGAGCTCCTCAAAGAATCTGCAGACACACCTCCAAAGTTCAGTCTTAGAAGCTGGTTGATCATTTTCTGAAGTAATCAAACACATTCAGTGGTGTTGAGGTCTGGACTCTAGGGTGGTCAGTCCATCGTTCAGCTTCTTTGTTTGATGTGTCCGTCTCCTTTTCTCAGTGAGGTTCTTCTTGATCAGCTATACATCCTTTCAGACCCACAGCGCTGAGTCGTCTTCTCACAGTGGAAGGATGGACAGAAACACCTGTGGATGTTTTCAGATCTGAAGCAGCTTGATTTTCTCCTCTCTCTCAGAGATGAAAGCTTTAGGTGCTGTTTATCTGATGGGGGCAGTTTTGGGGTCGACCAGCTCTTCCAGGTGGTTGTTAGGAAACAGTTTCTCTGTAGCTTTTAATCAGGTTTGAACTCTTGAATTATTATTATTTTTTTCTTTGTGGATTATTTTATATATCATCTCATCATTAAAAATGAATTATGAGTTTATGACTGTAAATGAAATAAATGAAGGGTGGTCTCTGATGTTTGTACAGTACTGTATGTATAATACATATGGGACAGACATATGAGCACTAGTATTCAAAATTTCGGAACAGTTTTCAGTGATGTTCAACTGAATTTGTTGCTGATACATGTAAAAACTGATACTAATAACTCTAATATGATAAATATGATTTGAATAAAATTAATATAAAATATGAGACAAAAAATAAATGTGACATAAAAATAAAAAATGTGAAAAATATATGATAAATGTGATAAATTTTAATTTATTTATTTATTTTTTTTAAATAGTGCCCAAATATTGCTGATTAAAATAGCTAGTTGTTTTTACATCAAGGAATTACCAGTAATGGATCATTTCAGTGTATAATTTCATAACATTTTTGAATTTTTTAGCATTTTGTAAAAATTACTCTTATATGATGTATGATAAATATAAAATAATAAAATTGATATAAATAATGCCTCATTTTTGAAAAACAGTGACTAAATCACTCTCTCTCTCTCTATCTCTGTCTCTCAATAAATATATTTATATATATATATATATATATATATATATATATATATATGTATGTATATATATATATACATATATATATGTATATATATATATATATATATCGCTGCTGTCAGAACAAAACCTTGTACATATATATATATATATATATATATATATATATTGGTGGGATGTAATAGTTCATTACTTGTTAGCTACATTAGCTTCATTCCTCTATTGCTCAACTAAAGAAGCAAACTTCAGACACCAAAAATGGGGGGTGATATTTTTTTGTACTTCAAAACTCACTTTAAAGTGGTCTGAATCACAGAGTAGTAAGTGTTCTGCACGTTCCTCACACGCATGGCGTCCTAAATTAGCTGCCCTCATTCCTAACCAGTGGGGTTATTTATATGTAAGAGGCGTTTCTCATTACATATTCACACATATTGCATCAGCTCAACATGCTCAGAATAAACAAACACTCACAAATCATCTCAGTTATGATCATTTAATTACAGTTAATATCCCTTTAAAAAGGAGTGAGAAGAAATGGTTTATCAGAATTTTATTCAGACATTTATTTTAAAGATTTAGAAACAAAACTATACATTTCTTTAACACTTCCATGTGACTATTCCCATTTTGCAATATTGACCTTTTCTCTTTGGTCCTCGTTGTGCACAGATAGTGAAGAATGTGGTCAGTATCTGAGTGTAACAGCTTTTGATAGCTACTCTGATATTCTCAAATTGCATTGTTGTTGTTTACTGTAGTAACTGTGTACGTTTACTGTTCAAAAGTTTGGAATTACAGTAGTGTATAGTGTTTAACAATATAAAACAAATATATTAAAGCAATAAGCCAAGAGAGGCTGTGTATCACTGGTGTTATGGTTAAGAGGTGTTGTTAGGCAGTAAAACCCCCTTACACATGATAAAATCACTGTAATGCATGGTCTTATTGCTTTTAAAAACACCGGCAACATAAAATATGCTTAAGTACACACATTTTTCAATTAATCGTTTCAGATAGTATTAATAATGATCAAAATAAATCATAATAAACAATTCCAGCCAACCTCAGGCCAATGTATGCGCACCATCTGACACTGATCTCCAGCCAACCTCAGGCCAATGTATGCGCACCATCTGACACTGATCTCCAGCCAACCTCAGGCCAATGTATGCGCACCGTCTAACACTGATCTCCAGCCAACCTCAGGCCAATGTATGTATCACCTAACATTGATCTCTAGCCAACATCAATCCAGTGTACGCTCACCATCTAACATTGACCTCTAGCCAGCATCAGGCCAACAAAGGCCCAACATCTAACACTGGGCCTCATTTACCAACCATTCTTAAGAGGAATCACAAAGATTCTGACATTCACCAGTGTTCTCTTATCTGGGGTTTGTTCTCAGGTAAGAACAGAATCTACACACACTCAAGAGCACAAAGGTGAGAACAGTTCTGCGCTTTAAGAACACGTCATGAATCTGACATTGACTTTTTTTAGGAACTTTCTCAAGAACACATTTAAGAAAGAACTTACGAAGATATTGGTAAATGAGGTCCAATGATTGCCAGCTAATGTCAGGCCGGTATCGGCCCACCGGCCAAAATGTCTTTGGCCCAATATGATCTGCCAATGTTATACCAACATGACCAATGTCACTGGGCCATGTATACCTGCTACCTACTTTGCTAAGAGTTGGCTGTTGTTGCCAATCAACAATGAACTGCTTGAGGACAACAGCTTTCAGTTGCTCATCGTTGTGTGTGGCAGCCAGTTAATATTCAGAATGAAGTTCTAATAAAATAGAATTATGTTCTAATAAAATTAATATCCAGAATTAAGTTCAAATAACATTATTTCCAGATAAAATTCAAATAAACTAATATTCACAATGGAGTTCTAATCAAATGTATATCTTAAGCCATTTAACGTTATAAGAAATAACAACACGTTGATAATTACAGTCTCTTATTTATCATATAAGTCTTTGTTAACACCTTAATACCTTCTAATGACTAATTTATAATATTTCAGTGCATAGTGTGCATGTTATTATTGACTAAAATGACAACAGTAATTAATATGACATGTCAAACGTCTGAATGGTGGCGTATGTGTGTGTTCCCTGTGCTGCAGATGGTCTCCTCAGTGATTTCACTCTAAATGTGGCCTCTAATGCTGCTTTACTATAAGATCAACTCTTATTTTAATACTTTATACCATAATGGATCTTAAACTTTAAGATAATGCACAATGATTAGGGCACATATAACACATATATCTCATAAGATATCACTCGTGTAGCATATATGTGAATGTATTTCACATACAGTCCAATCTACTTTATCAGAAACTCCTCTCCTGTAGCTCCTCCTAGTTGGCGTACAGTTAGTGACTGTAGCTGTTGATGCACAGTTTGTGTTGGTCGTGCTGTTGCCCTTCAGTTTTTGCCCACAGAGCCACTCTTGTCTGCATATTTTTGGGTGGACGATCCACTCTCAACCTAGCAGTGATACTAATGTGTGTAAAAACTGACCAAACTGACCAGTGATCAATGTAAGTACAGGAGGTTGATAGACTGCAGCGGCAGATTAGCTACAGTCTGTAACTCTGCACCTACATGGTGGAGCTATAAGGGAGGTGTTTCTAATAAAATGGCCAGTGAGAGTAGTTTTGTGATGTCACTATTTTATCTCATGCTCCCATGATCCACTGTTTTTAATAAGCTATTCCTATTGGCTCAGTTATGCCAGGCCACTATCCTATTGGCTCATCTACGCTACTGTGCAAAGTCAGAGGCCACTCTTAATTTATTTGATTTCCACTCAAAACAGGGTGAGCTCTGCCTTCCACACGGTGCTGCGTTTTAATTCTGCTCTCCTATTGGCTCAGATAAGTTTTAATGCTGCTGTTCTATTGGCTCAGCTATCGCAGGCCTTTATCTTATTGGTGGAATTCTGAGTGGCTCTTCTAGAGTCTCAGGTCCTCTTTTGCTGCAGATTTTCATGACCTCTAATCAATAAACACTGAGCTGTTGCGAACAGAGCAGCTACAGTCTGTTGTTTGTTTGTTTGTTGTTTACAGCAGTACGCAGGTTTTTCGTTTCCTCTTCAGCTGCAGGTCCAGGTCCAGAAGCAGAGCCAGGAAGTTCCTGTTCGGGTAGATGGCTCGTTTCCGAATGAGGCGCTGGATGGCTGAGCGGAGCGGCATGTGGTGATACAGCATCAGATACGCCAGCACCAGCGTGGACGAACGACTCATACCCATAATGCAGTGTACCAGCACCTTCCCTAGAGGGGGCAGTTCATACAGAACAATCTTATTGAGATGACATGTAACATGTACTATATACTGCCTTTAATACACAATCTCGATTACTTATATGGACCATTCTACTGAATTAGTTCAAACTGCTGACCCACAGTTATAAAACTATTTTAAAAACTGAGTATTCAGGCCTTACACAGTATTCAGGTGTGCCAAAAGTCATGGGATAACAGTATGTAAACTGATTATTGGCATTACCTAAGGGGACGGCTTAGGAATGCCCACGCCTGTCGAAGTTGTGAGGTGTTATCTTGTGAGTGAGGTTGAACACTGTCCAGTGTGCTCATGGCAAGGTGACATGAATTATTAGAGTTCAAATGAGGCACGACAGTGCTAGATGGATGGGACATTCCAGTTCCAAAGCGCTCTGGTCACCCACGGGTCCTTAATGATTGTGACCGATGGCATCTGGCTAGAATTGTCTGTGCAAACAGACAAGCGACTCTGGCAGAAATCACATCCACATTCAGTGCAGGAGGCCCCACACCCATATCAGCGTGCAGCGTTCTTTAGTTTCCATGGGATATACAATCAGAAGACCCTCCAGAGTGCCTCTGTTCACACCACGACACCAGACTCACTGCTTGGTGACCATTTGCAGCCCTTCATGGACTTTATGTACCCCCACAATGACAGGATACTAGATATGGGTTAGTGGGTAGGAGTGAGGGGGTAAGGATTAGGAGATATGGGTTAGTGGGTAGGAGTGAGGGGGTGAGGATTAGGAGATATGGGTTAGTTGGTAGGAGTGAGGGGGTGAGGATTAGGAGATATGGGTTAGTGGGTAGGAGTGAGGGGGTGAGGATTAGGAGATATGGGTTAGTTGGTAGGGGTGAGGGGGTAAGGATTAGGAGATATGGGTTAGTGGGTAGGAGTGAGGGGGTAAGGATTAGGAGATATGGGTTAGTGGGTAGGAGTGAGGGGGTGAGGATTAGGAGATATGGGTTAGTTGGTAGGGGTGAGGGGGTAAGGATTAGGAGATATGGGTTAGTGGGTAGGAGTGAGGGGGTAAGGATTAGGAGATATGGGTTAGTGGGTAGGAGTGAGGGGGTAAGGATTAGGAGATATGGGTTAGTTGGTAGGGGTGAGGGGGTAAGGATTAGGAGATATGGGTTAGTGGGTAGGAGTGAGGGGGTAAGGATTAGGAGATATGGGTTAGTGGGTAGGGGTGAGGGGGTAAGGATTAGGAGATATGGGTTAGTGGGTAGGAGTGAGGGGGTAAGGACTAGGAGATATGGGTTACTGGGTAGGGGTGAGGGGGTAAGGATTAGGAGATATGGGTTAGTGGGTAGGAGTGAGGGGGTAAGGATTAGGAGATATGGGTTAGTGGGTAGGAGTGAGGGGGTAAGGACTAGGAGATATGGGTTACTGGGTAGGAGTGAGGGGGTAAGGACTAGGAGATATGGGTTAGTTGGTAGGGGTGAGGGGGTAAGGATTAGGAGATATGGGTTAGTTGGTAGGGGTGAGGGGGTAAGGATTAGGAGATGTGGGTTAGTTGGTAGGGGTGAGGGGGTAAGGATTAGGAGATATGGGTTAGTGGGTAGGAGTGAGGGGGTAAGGATTAGGAGATATGGGTTAGTGGGTAGGAGAGAGGGAGTAAGTATTAGGACCCATGGGCTAGAAGTGAGGGGATATGGATTAGGAGATATGGGTTAGTGGGTAGGGGTGAGGGGGTAAGGATTAGGAGATATGGGTTAGTTGATGGGGTGAGGGGGTATGGGTTAGGAGATATGGTTAAGGTTGTAGAGATTAGGAGATATGGGTTGGTAAATAGGAAAGAGGGGGTTAGGATTAGGAGTTAAGGGTGAGGGGATATAGATTAGGACATATGGGTTAGGGGTGAAGGGGTATGAATTTGGAGATACAGTGTTGTTAGTGGGGATGAGGGGGTATGGATTAGGAGATATGGGTTAGTGGGTAGGGGTGAGGGGGTAAGGATTAGGAGATATGGGTTAGTAAGTAGGGGTGGGGGTATGGATTAGGAGATATGGGTTAGGGGTATGGATTAGGATATATGGGTTAGGGGTAGAGGTGTGGATAAGGAGATATGGGTTAATAAGTAGGGGTGGATTAGGATATGTGAGTAAGGGTTAGAGGTTAGGAGATATGGGTTAGTGTGTAGGAGTGAGGGGGGAAGGATTAGGAGATATGGGTTACTGGGTAGGAGTGAGGGGGTAAGGATTAGGAGATATGGGTTACTGGGTAGGAGTGAGGGGGTAAGGATTAGGAGATATGGGTTACTGGGTAGGAGTGAGGGGGTAAGGACTAGGAGATATGGGTTACTGGGTAGGAGTGAGGGGGTAAGGACTAGGAGATATGGGTTAGTTGGTAGGGGTGAGGGGGTAAGGGTTAGGAGATATGGGTTAGTTGGTAGGGGTGAGGGGGTAAGGATTAGGAGATATGGGTTAGTTGGTAGGGGTGAGGGGGTAAGGATTAGGAGATATGGGTTAGTGGGTAGGAGTGAGGGGGTAAGGATTAGGAGATATGGGTTAGTGGGTAGAAGTGAGGGGGTAAGGATTAGGAGATATGGGTTAGTGGGTAGAAGTGAGGGGGTAAGGATTAGGAGATATGGGTTAGTGGGTAGGAGAGAGGGAGTAAGGATTAGGACCCATGGGCTAGGGGTGAGGGGATATGGATTAGGAGATACGGGTTAGTTGATGGGGTGAGGGGGTATGGGTTAGGAGATATGGTTAAGGTGGTAGAGATTAGGAGATATGGGTTGGTAAATAGGAAAGAGGGGGTTAGGATTAGGAGTTAAGGGTGAGGGGATATAGATTAGGACATATGGGTTAGGGGTGAAGGGGTATGAATTTGGAGATACAGTGTTGTTAGTGGGGATGAGGGGGTATGGATTAGGAGATATGGGTTAGTAAGTAGGGGTGGGGGTATGGATTAGGAGATATGGGTTAGGGGTATGGATTGGGATATATGGGTTAGGGGTAGAGGTGTGGATAAGGAGATATGGGTTAATAAGTAGGGGTGGATTAGGATATGTAAGTAAGGGTTAGAGGTTAGGAGATATCGGTTAGTTGGTAGGGGTGAGGGGTAAGCGTTAGGAGATTTGAGTTAATGGGTGGGTGATGGGGTAAGGATTAGGCTATTTGGGTTAGTGGGTGGGGTGGAGGGGTAAAAATGAGGAAATATGAGTTATGAGATAGTGGTTAAGGGTAATTGTTTAGTAGTTAGGGGTAGGGGTAGGGTTTGGAGATAGAGGATTGGTTTGAGGGATTAGGAGACAGGTCTTAGGGGTTTAGCAGTAGGAGGTAACCTCTGGCTTTCACAGACACCCTAATCTGCAGGTAATTTACGAACGTTTCTCACGTCTTTTATCCTGTGTGTTTGTTGCAGTGATAAAACGCTGTAAGTGTAACTCTGTGTGTGTTTCAGCTGAGAGTCTCTCACCGTCAGGCGTTTTCAGGCCTTTGTGGATAAAATCAGCCGCTGATCTGAAGTAGATGTCCAGGTCAAAGTAAGACGAGTCTTCTGCTGGAATTCCGCAGTAAACGAAGCTGGTGCCGTAGAAGTTCTGGTCCCCGATGCTGCCGCGCTTGGAGTGCGCAGCGTTCAGGATGTGGGTGATTCCCATCCGCTGCAGAGCCGCCCTGTTCTGGGCGATTCTCCTGCAGACAGAGAGAGAGAGAGATGGTGAGTGGGGAGGTATGTCAGAGTCCTGACAGAACGGGCAAAATATATCACACTGTTGTGACAGAGGCAGGTAAGTGTTTCCAAATTCACATCTGACATACTGTAACATGTACCAAGGCTACAATGAGGCCAGGTCAGTACATTTGTATTACTGTGGTCATCATCCTGTGTGAACAGCAAGTCAGCAGTGGCTAAAAGTCGGGGATAAAATGTGTTTTGTGTCCGCAAAAAAGACAGAAGAGATATAAATGTGAACCATCATGATTGAAAGTTTGGGAAAAACTCTTTTCCATTCTAGAGAAACTTATGCAATTCAGAATTACTTACAGTCAGAACTGTTCACAGTGGTGGTGATAGGAACCAGACGTCCACCTCTAAAAGCTCCCTCACAGAAATGAATTACATGGTTATGAATATGCTGCCTGATGCCAGACAAATTGTTTCAAATTAATTTTTTTGAAGATAAAGTCTGAGAACTGTCCAAAACATATTTCTAAATCCATTCATGGTGGAGGGACACATACAGGGTGTTTTTGTCCCCAAAGAAAACTTATTATTTCAGATTTTCCACTATTTTCCATCATCAACATTCCATATAAACTCAGAAGACTCGTGTAGGTTCACTGGTGGTTCTGGATGGTAAATAAAATGTCTATATCTGTGTTGTAGTCATGGCGACCCCTGGTTCCAATCACCACCACTGTAAAGAAATCTGAGTTGGTAGGTTTCTCTACAGTGGACCATCAGGTCACTCTGAATGACTTTGTTTACATCTCAACATCTCAGAATTTTCCTCTTTAAGTTAACAAACATGCTCATCTAATCACAATGTGTTACTTATTTATTTGTATTTATTTCAATATTAGTGTCCTTTTGAAAAATAAGTGCTTCCTGTGTGATAAATATCTTTCTCAGAAGAGTTTTATACTTTACTGTACGTTATTTAGGATGTTTACAGTAAGAACTGTTTACAGTGTAAGGCGTCAAAGTGGAGTAAACAGAGGAAGCGGTCAGTACGTACACATTTCCGATGTACAGGTTCGGCCAGACCTCGTCGATCTGGTTCAGTTCCAGAGTGCAGGAGTCCAGAACTTTCTCCAGGTCCTTCACACACAGGTACTCCTTTCTCTGGTTCTTCTGAGCGGTCATCTCTGATTAGCAGTGTGCTGATAAGGCTCGTGTGTGTGTGTGTTAGGGGTTTGTGCCAGTGATCAGAGAGAGCAGGTGGGCTCACTGGACCACCGCCATATTTAGTACATCAGTGTACTGTTACTCACACACACATACACGGGCTTCGGATGCCACATGCCCAAACCCCTTACACAAACACACACATTCTGTTCAGGCTTATTTGAGTAATTAACAGCGGTTTGTGAGAGTTAATGAACTGCATTCAGCCCCAACTACTGTCACTTGTGGAGTTCCACAGGGGTCAGTACTTGTGCTGCTTTTGTTTAGTATTTAAAGCGCCATATAAATATTTAACCCCTTCTGTTTTCTTCTGTTTTTGCATATTTGTTGTATTTAATTGTTTTAGATCTTCAAACAAAATTTAATATAAGACTAAAGAGCAGATTTACAAAAAGAGGGACTCAACCGATACTTTGCGCTGGTTTGTTCGGCCCGTTATTGATTAAGCACTTCAAAACAAATGAGGACATGCAAAACGTCGTAATTAGCATATGACCAGTGCAATATAACCACATAAACCAGCATAAACGTTTGACTTATGTGGTTTTTTGTATATGAAACCCTGTTTCCCCCAGATAGGTGGAAAAAAGACTGTTTAAGGTTTAAAATGTGACTCAATTTGACTTAATAATAATAATGATAATAGTAATAATAATAATGTCTTTATTTGTGGAGCACTTTTCAAACCGGTGGCAGCTCAAAGTGCTTTATGGACAGATGATAAAGCTTAACAGTAATATAAGAAACTATGAGAATGAATTGAAAATCATATAAGACAATAACACAGATTAAACAGATAAACACCAAAGAGCCGTAGAGTTTAATGAAGCTCTGAGTTAAAGAGCTGCGTTTTCAGATGTTTATTAAAAGTGAGCTCTGAGCTCGACTGTCTAATAAAAGCTGAACTGAGCTTCACAGTTTAGAAGCAGAACAACTGAAAGAGTCTCTCCAGGCTTTCTGTTTTACTGAAGGAGTTCAGAAGGTCAGAATCTGCAGATCTGAGATCATAAACAGACGTTCAGGAGCTTTAAGGTCATTTAGAGCTTTAAAAACCGGCAGCAGAGCTTTAAACTCTCTCTAACAGATCCAGGCGGTCAGTGCAGTGTGTAACGGGGGGATATGAGCTCTCTGTGTTGGTGCTGTGAGGATCCGTGCTGCTGCATTCTGTACGGGTTCTAGAGGATGGACTGCTTTCTCCAGTAAGAAGATCATTACAGTGATCAACTCTGCTGGAAGAAAATGTAAGTTCAAATAATGAAAGTCCAAAAAATGAGTTATTACTCATCAAGAAAGAATATGTTTCAAAATAATAATTATTTAGAGAAAATAGGACATTAAAATTAGAAGCAAGTGCAGATTTGATCGTCCTGAATGATCTACGAACATCAGATTCAGGAAACAGGCAACAAAACATTTCGTCACAAATGTTGAATCAGCTTCAGTGCGTGAAAACAAGCGCCCATGCATGAGTACCTTATTTACATATCTTTCGCAACCAACACGCACCAAGTTGCTCTCATATGCATATAATTACGTGAAGATTCATGCAGATGTTTTGATAGTAAGCCAATAAAAGTATTCAGTAGGGGTCGAGCAGGACATGTACTGCCCCCCCTCACCTACTGGCTAGAGCTCAAACAACTTCATAGTGTTAAAATATCAACAATTGAAAAGAATAAAATGTGAAATAACAGTGATGTGACTGTGTCATGTGATTAACATAACAGGCTGGCTGATTGAGTGATAATATTGCAGTATATGAGCTACGTTTTTGGGTTTTTAGGGAGTTTATATACTGTATCAGCAGTATAAAGCGGAATGTATAGTTGCAGCATTTGTTTATATCAGTGCACACATAAAAAAAGAAGTACGTCCAGGCTAGCACAAGAATTGCTTTGTGCACAGTTATAGTATTATCACTGCTATTTTTATTGTTTTATCATCTTTACTGTACTACTGATATTATTATTGTTATTGACAATAATCTTGTTTATTTAACTGCAAATCAGGCATTTTTCAGGCTGTTAAACTGTTACGGCCAAAATGGAGTAAACGACGGCCCACAGTGTTCATAGATCTGCTCTTAGGACTCGCAGCGCGGGTGATACACTGAGTGGAAAACAAGTGTTCAGACTTTTGTTTCTGCTATTAAATAAATCTTATTTTTTCAGATTTTCCACTATTTTCCATCATCAACATTCCATATAAGCTCAGAAGACTCGTGTAGGTTCACTGGTGGTTCTGGATAGTAAATAAAATGTCTATATTTGTGTTGTAGTCATGGCGACCTCTGGGTTCCTATCACCACCACTGTAAAGACATCTGAACCATTTCACACCAAACCACTCTGAGTCACTCTGTTTACATCTCACACACTGAGTTATACATGCATTTTGGAAAATTTGGTGAAATTCCCCTTTTAGTAAACTGAAACACAAAACTGAGCCGATATATTTATGGGAATTATATACAGTGAATCATTACTAAACTGGTTTCACTGTTCATGAGCGTCAGCGTTGGCAGCTGGGGGGGGCGGGGGTGGGCGGGGGGGCGGGGGGGGGTCACAGGTGGGCTTTAAAGACTTACTACAGAATCTAAATATAGACTTAAGATCTGTGTGTGAAATATGTCTGTCAAACTCTGAGGACACAGTGAAGACCTGCTCAGCAGACCAGCTGCAGTCTCAAAGTTCTAGTACAGTGATTCTACATACTTAAGGGGTTCTTTAGTAAAGGCAATGGTTCTATTTAGAACCGTGAGTTCTGTATAGAACCATTTCTTGCTTAAATGGTTTTTTACATAGTGAAATGGTTCTTCAGACTGATACGATGTTAAGCGTGTACACATTAGAAGAACTCTTTTTGCTGGGTCTATATAGAACCACTTTCAAAAAAGGTTCCATATAGAACTGTATATAACACATTCTCCTTTGGTCTGAAGAACCAATTCACCATGCAAAGAACCTTTTAAGCTTCAAATGGTTCTATATACAACTCATGGGTTTAAATAGAGCCATTTTCTTTACTAAAAAACCCTTATTTTTCAAGTGTGTAGTACAGGAGCTTACAGACCTCATGACCTCCTGGAGGGGAAGAACCTTGACCATCTCTGCAGAACATGTTTCAGAATCAGAGCCACTTTTGCAGGTTTTAGCACGTAACTTTTATTTGTTTTGAATTTACCATATTGGAGAAAAAAACAAACTACGTGCCATAAAGTCTTGTGTTTTATGACATTTTATGTTATATTTTACCACAATATGTGAAATTGAGCAATTAAAGAGTGATTGTGTATTAAAATGTGCAGAAGTGTGTCTCTGTAGAGGACCTGTATCTTATTTACACTCAGAAAACCAACACAACGTTTTGGATTTTGACCACAGGTGGGGTAAAAATGTCTGATAAATCTCTGCAAAACACAGTTAAATCTAAACAGCTCAATGGGCCTCATTCACCAGCCGTTCTTATGAAGAACGTTCCTCTTAAACCCACTTTACAGTTTTACAAAGATCCTGAAATTCACCAGTGTTCTCTCATCTGGGATTCGGTCTTAGGTAAGAACAGAATCTACACACACTCAGGAGCACAAAGGTGAGAACGGTTCTGCGCTTTAGGGACAAGACATGAATGTGACGTAGGACCTTTCTCAAGAACATGTTTAAGAACAAACTTAGGAATGAATAAGGCCCAGTGTTATTTGAAATCAAACATATTCATCAAAATATGATAAGACTCGTTTCCAACACTGACAAATTCTTTTTTTTCCCAATTTTCTCCTGAATTTGGTTGTATCTCATTCTTCTCACTAGTCAGGACTCCCCCAATCACACGATACCCCCAGCGCTAGGAGGGTGAAGGCAAACACAGGCTTCCTCTGAGACCTGTGAAGCTCCACCACATCTTTTCGAACTGCCGCTAACGCAGTATCATTGGACAGCCGAACGCGCTCGGAGGAGAACACTAACCTCCAGATCTGTTACGTCAGCTAACAGACGCCTGCACTGGCTAGCACTGCATTGAGTGATGGGGGGAGATGGGGGGCCATCCTACCCACCCAGAGAGAGCGAGGCCAACTGTGCTCTCTTGGACTCCCGGCCACGGACAACTGTAGAATCACCAGGGACCAAATTCACGACCTTCTGATAATTGTCTCTTGAAAGTTTATTCACATGCATTTTGTACATGGGTACATTTTTAATTCATCTTCATTAAAACTTTTAAAAATTAGCTGTTTTGAATGTACATGTATATGGAGTCTCTGATCATTTACTCTGGGGGTCTTAGCTGTAACAGTGTGTTAAACTAACCCCACCATGTGGAGGCTGCACTTTAGCCTGGCTGGATCTCACTGTGAGCTGTTTATCTGCTTGAAAACGGCACTTTATTACAGCCATCAAAGGGGAGATTTAAATAAGCACAATTTTTGATGTGTACGTTTGTGTATTAGTGAGTAATCTACACCTCCCTCATTAACATTTAGCTGTGGACTGCTTTCTCCTGGACTGCTTTCACTTCTCACTCTGGAGCTTTAGCATTTAATTTTAGACCAAAAAGAGAAGAACAGAGTCTAAAACACTTCAGTTCCTCTGCTGGTAGATGCTGGATGATACTGAAGGGCCACTCCAGCCAAAATAAAAAGTTTAAACATTGCTTCATCTGTTGTAAACACGCCTGCTTTCCTCTCAGAGTGGTAGTGCAGTGTCGCTAGAGCGAGATTTCCTGCTTTAAACCCCTTCTGATGATGCACATTGAAGGTGGAGGTGCTTTTGGGTGTTATTTGATGATGGGCTGTTTTAATTCATTCATTTATGTTATGGTAGCTGATTGAGTTATTCCTAAAACAACAGCTGCTTTTCCACCACGTGGTGTGGCTCAAGTCAACTCTACTTGCTTTTGGTACCAGCTACTTTGTTTTCCACTGCAGATATAGCGCCCCCAAATGTGGCTGGTCGCCATAGCGACGCTGCATGAAACTGCTGAGACATGAAAGAGATCAATTTTTGTTTGGAAGAGGCTGCAAGACAAAAGAGCGCTGAAAAAAAACTACATTAAAGTTCAGACAACGAGATGATTCTGGTTCCTCAAAGGCAACGCAAGAAGCCATGCTAAAGTGCTAGCTAGCGTTAGCATATACGTTTAGCAATTCTTTCTGACCAATCAGCATTCGGTAGCATTTTTGCATCCCTCTTTGGTATCGGCTCAGCCCACTCGGAACCTCAACGGAGGTGTCAACAAAAGAAGTACTTGGTACCAGGTAGCAGATTTGCCCAGTGAAAAACCAAAAAAAGCGAGTCAAGTCGAGTCGAGCCGGTACCATGCAGTGGAAAAGCGGCTAAAGACAAAGTCTAATTTAGGTGCTGTATCGCTAATGCTAGCTGGCACTATTAACCTCTAGATCAGCTAGCAGGGTTTGTTGAGCACCACAGGGATCCCCAATGACTGTGTGATGTATTTGCGTGATGCATGCTGGGTATTGTAGTGGGAACATTGATGGCCGACAACACAAAAACAATACACTGTAAGTGGTAATAGCGTATCACTGCTGTCTGAAGAAAACCTAGTTTTACCGTTTTTGACATAATCTGAAAACGCCTGTTGTCCTTTACATTGTGTGTAAATTTCATGATGAATGGACCAAATGAAACGGCTCAAAATGACTTGGAAAAAAGTCTGGTTCCATTGACTTACATTAAAAGTAAAGTAGGTTTTTTCCTTCTTCTGTAAAATTACCATTTTGGAGGTTTTGTTACGACAGCAGCGACATGTCACTATAAAGAATTAAGAAAATTTACGTATTTTAGAGCATATTCAGGTTTGCATAAATAACTAAAGTTTCTAGAAGGGAAATTTGTGGATTTAGCTTAAAATATTTTTAAGTAAACTCAACATGTTCAAAGCTTACAGTCTACAAAATCTGTCAAACTGATGAGACAAATAACATATTAATGTCACATTGTAGGCCAGAATGTCCCTTTAAAGGTGCAGTGTGTAAGATTTAGTGGCATCTAGTGGTGAGGTTGCAGATTGCAACCAACTGAACCCCCCTCCCTCACCCCTCCCTTTCCAAGCATGTAGTAGAATTTACAGTGGCTGTCAGGTTTTCTGCCGTTGCCTGTCCCGATTTCATTTTGGTTCAAGTTTTTGCGAGGATTCACCCTCCCTCACTTTTTTAAAATAATAAGTCTGATCCTCCATTTGTCAAAATTTTGGTTCTCCAACTTCTCACAACACAAATTGGTCACCCAGCACTGGCAGCAACCACTGATTCTTCTTCTTTCTACGTCTTCCAACTGGAGCTGCAGCGCCACCCAATTCAAGCTGTCGCTTCAGCATAAAAACGCAAAAGACGCCCTCTAGAGGCAGTATTTAGATATGAAGGGCTCATTCTAAGCTAATGAAAACACAACGATTCGTAGTTACAGGTGATTTATGCACAAATGAAAACATAGTTCTGTTTTCTATATTCAATTTCTGCTAATAGAGCCACTTAAATTTTACACATTGCACCTTTAAGTAGTTTTCTGACCTGATGCTTTTTACTCATGGCTTCTTTAACATCTGGTAAATGGGACATGATACAAATAGCAAACAAATAAACTCCTGACAAATAAATATGAATTAATACAATACACATACACAATCACAGAATATACATGTATCCACAGTATGTAAACTGAATGCACAGGGTATTTACAGCAATATAGATCAGGAATTACAGTCCTGAGTGTTGCTGCTTGTTCACTTTGAGCCGTATAGTGTGATATCCAGAGCTCGGAGCTGTTTGAGGAATCCGCGGTTGGGGAAAATCCACCGGTGCTCTTTGACAGTTTTAATGGCCTCCAGCAGGGGGAGCTTCTGGTGGATCATCAGGTAGGCAAGCACCAACGAAGCAGAGCGACTCACGCCCACCGCACAGTGCACCAGCAACCGTGCTGAACACAAACACAAGATTCAGAACCAACTTAACACTACCCATCCTCTAACTTAACACTACCCATCCTCTAACTTAACACTACGCGTCCACTGACTTAACACTACCCGTCCACTGACTTAACACTACCCATACCCTAACTTAACACTACCCGTCCACTGACTTAACACTACCCATCCTCTAACTTAACACTACCCATCCACTAACTTAACACTACCCACCCCCTAACTTAACACTACCGATCCCCTAACTTAACACTACCCATCCTCTAACTTAACACTACCGATCCCCTAACTTAACACTACCCACCCCCTAACTTAACACTACCGATCCCCTAACTTAACACCACCCATCCTCTAACTTAACACTACCGATCCCCTAACTTAACACCACCCATCCCTTAACACTACCCATCCTCTAACTTAACACCACCCATCCCTTAACACCACCCATCCCCTAACTTAACACTACCCATCCTCTAACTTAACACTACCGATCCCCTAACTTAACACTACCCACCCCCTAACTTAACACTACCGATCCCCTAACTTAACACCACCCATCCCTTAACACTACCCATCCACTAACTTAACACTACCTGTCCTCTAACTTAACAATACACATCCTATAACTTAACACCACCCATCCCCTAACTTAACACTACCGATCCCCTAACTTAACACTACCCATCCCCTAACTTAACACTACCCATCCTCTAACTTAACACTACCGATCCCCTAACTTAAAACTACCCACCCCCTAACTTAAAACTACCCACCCCCTAACTTAACACTACCGATCCCCTAACTTAACACTACCCATCCTCTAACTTAACACTACCTGTCCTCTAACTTAACACTACCGCTCCCCTAACTTAACACTACCCATACCCTAACTTAACACTACCCATCCTCTAACTTAACACTACCTGTCCCCTAACTTAACACTACGCGTCCCCTAACTTAACACCACCCATCCTCTAACTTAACACTACCCATCCACTAACTTAACACTACCCATCCTCTAACTTAACAATACACATCCCCTAACTTAACACTACCCATCCTCTAACTTAACACTACCTGTCCTCTAACTTAACACTACCGCTCCCCTAACTTAACACTACCCATACCCTAACTTAACACTACCCATCCTCTAACTTAACACTACCCGTCCCCTAACTTAACACTACCCATCCCCTAACTAAACACCACCCATCCCCTAACTTAACACCACCCATCCTCTAACTTAACACCACCCATCCCCTAACTTAACACTACCCATCCTCTAACTTAACACCACCCATCCCCTAACTAAACACTACCCATCCCCTAACTAAACACTACCCATCCTCTAACTTAACACCACCCATCCCCTAACTTAACACTACCCATCCTCTAACTTAACACCACCCATCCCCTAACTTAACACTACCCATCCTCTAACTTAACACTACCCGACCCCTAACTTAACACCACCCATCCTCTAACTTAACGCTACCATCCTCTAACTTAACGCCACCTGTCCACCTACTGGCCACTTTATTAGAAACTCTACCATATGTACAGCAAATTCAGTTAAAGCGCACAACAGTGTTAAAGCTACCTGCATACAAATGAGGTAAATCAAAGGTAAATTATGTTGTGTGCTGTTGCAATAGCGGTGAAGTGGGCAGCAGGTTTACCTCCAGGTGAGCTCAGCACCTGATGGATGTGGTCGGCACACGGCTGGAAATAAACAGACAGGTTGAAGGAGGGCGAGTCGTCCGCAGGTATGCCGTAGTATTCTATAGACGAGCCGTAAAACCCATGGCTGCCCTGACAGTGCATTTTCCCATGGGCCGCATTCAGGACATGGGAGATCCCCAGCTTCCACAGGCCATAGCGGTCATTAGCTATTGACCTATGAGCAGAAATCAATGCAACATCGTTGTGAGGATTTGATTGTCTTTAGCTGCCCTGTGGAAAACTCTTAACCCTAGATTTGGTTTATCTGAAACATGATTACAAACTGCTGCAGCCTGAATGGGTGGAGCTAAACTGCTGTAGGCTGAATGGGTGGGGCTAAATTGCTGTAGGCTGAATGGGCAGGGGCTAAATTGCTGTAGGCTGAATGGGTAGAGCTAAACTGCTTTTGGCTGAATGGGTGGAGCTAAACTGCTGCAGGCCGATTGGGTGGGGCTAAATTGCTGTAGGCTGAATGGGCGGGGCTAAACTGCTGTAGGATGAATGGGCAGGGCTAAACTGCTGCAGGCTGAATGGGTGGAGCTAAACTGCTGCAGGCTGAATGGGTGGGGCCAAACTGCCTCAGGCCGAATAGGTGGAGCTAAACTGCTGCAGGCTGAATGGGTGGGGCTAAACTGCTGCAGGCTAAATGGGCGGGGCTAAACTGCTGTAGGCTGAATGGGTGGAGCTAAACTGCTGTAGGCTGAATGGGTGGAGCTAAACTGCTGTAGGCTGAATGGGCGGAGCTAAACTGCTGCAACATCACAACTTGTTGAATTCAAAACAAGCTGATTTGCAGATTAGTTTCCATACTGTACTCACTGGGGAGTGAACAGTATGTTTATTAATGTTTACACACCACATCAAACTATTTCAGAAAGCAGATTGTATTTTGACTGATTTGTGCTCTTTAAAGCAGCTCTGATGAACCTCTAACCCGAATGCAAACCCAACTCACATGTCTCCCAGGAACAGGTTGGGCCAGACTTCATCCACATGATTTCCGCTCCGTCTCCCTCCATACAGAACCTTCTCCAGCTCTTTCACTGAAGGAGTTCCCTCTCTCTGTCCATCACACATGCTGACCTGTGACCTGCGCTCTGCGCCTGCTCAGGGACGCCGCTGGTTTGACGCAGTGGATCTGCTCCAGACAGCGCTGATCAGAGAGTGACAGCAGCAGATGTGGCCTACTGCTCTAAATTTAAATCCCTACTGATAGACTCAGAAACGGACACAAACTGATTTACCTTCTGATTTTTTTAGCATTTTAGCAGTGCAGTAATAATCTGAGTGAATATATTTGTTTGGAATCAATTTGATCAATTTGATTTTCTGATTTATCTTACACTGGGAGTAAATCGTAATGGGTTGCACTGAAATTTAGGCTAATAAACTTCCATTATGCAAAAAACACACATCTCAGCGAATATCTGTCCTACTGTTCAAGTTAAAATTCCACAAACATATAAAATCACTGCTGTCGGGACAAAACCTCGTATCTCCATTATTGTCGTTTTTCAGTTTTTGACATAATTTGAAAAAGGCAGTTGCTCTTTATATTGTGTGTAAATTTCATGATGAATGGACCAAAAGAAATGACCCAAAATTACTTGTAAAAACTTCTGGTTCCATTGACTTACATTTAAAGGAAAGTAGGTTTTTTCCTTCTCCTGTAAAGTTAGCATTTTGGAGATACGAGGTTTTGTTCAGACAACAGTGATATGTTTGTGCATGCATAGTAACTCGTGTCCTCAGTACAGTAACTTGTGGCATCAATATAGTTATTTGTGGCCTCAATATAGTAACTTGTGGCCTCAATATAGTAAACTGTGGCCTAAATATAGTAACTCGTGTCCTCAGTACAGTAACTTGTGGTGTCAATATAGTTATTTGTGGCCTCAATATAGTAACTTGTGGCATCAATATTGTAACTCATGTCCTCAGTATGGTAACTTGTGGCCTCAATATACTAATTCTTTGCCTCAATATAGTAACTCGTGGCCTCAGTGTAGTAACATGTAGCATCAATATAGTAACTTGTGGCCTCAATATAGCAACTCTTTGCCTCAATATAGTAACCTGTGGCCTCAATATAGCAACTCTTTGCCTCAATATAGTAACCTGTGGCCTCAATATAGTAACTCTTTGCCTTTCTGTAGGGAGGTATATATGGTGCATACACACTAAATAGGTGCATATGACTTGTAGACGTCTCTTAAAGGCATCTGGCCGTGTGCAAAAGTTTGGGCACTCCTGGCTAAACTACATAAACTGTTCTGTGAAGTGATAAAAAGTAAACACAGCCTCTGCAGCAAACTATTTACAGAAGTATTTCTTCTGCAATTGTTAATTAATGCACAGCTACTTTATACTTCGTTAACTGTAATTGTCGTACTTTATTTCTTTGGGTTTTCTGCTTGTTTCTATGAAGCCCCTAAGATGACATGGTGATTATTTTTAATAAGGCGTAGCCACAAATGAATGTATTGAGGCAACAAGTTAAGTTTCTATTGTGGCCTCAATATATTAATTTGTGTTGTCAATATATTAATTTGTGGCCTGAATATAGTAAATCGTGGCCTCAACATAGTAACTCGTGGCCTCCATATAGTAAACTGCGGCCTCAATATACAACCCAATTTCCAAAAAAGTTGGGACGCTGTGCAGAATGTAAATAAAAATAAGATGCAGTGATATGCAAATTATTTGAACCCTATATTTTTAAAAGAGAATACTACAAAAACAACATTTCAAATGTTGAAACTGAGAAATGTTATTGTTTTTGAAAAATATATGACCATTTTGGATTTGATGCCAACGACACATTCCAAAAAAGTTGGGGGCCTGTTTACCACTGAGTTTCATCACCTCTTCTTTTAACAACACTCTGTAATTGTTGGGGACTGAGGAGACACTGCTGTAGTTTAGAAAGTGAAATGTTTTTACATTCATGTTTGAATACAAGATTTCAGCTGATCAACAGGTCGGGGTCTCGTTTGTCGTATTTTTCATTTCATAATGCGCCAAATGTTTTTAGTGGTGACAGGTCTGGACTGCAGGCAGGTCAGTTTAGCACCTGGACTCTTATAATATGGAGCAATGCTCTTGTAATAAATGCAGAATGTGACATAGTCTTGTTGAAATAATCAAGGCCTTCCTGAAAAAGATGTCGTCTGGATGGCAGCATATGTTGCCAAAACATGTATATATACTGTTCAGCATTAATGGTGCCTTCACAGATGTGCACATCACCCATGCCATGTGCACTAATGCACCTCTATACCATCATGAATACTGGCTTTTGAACTGTGCACTGATAACAAGCTGAGTTGTCTTTAGCCCGGAGGACACAGCGTCCATGATTTCCAAAAAGAATTTCAAATGTTGATTCGTCTGACCACAGGACACTTTTCCACTTCCCCTCAGTCCATTTTAAATGAGCTCAGGCCCAGAGAAGGTGGCAGCGTTTCTGGATCCTGTTTATACTTGGTTTCTTCTTTGTGTTTTAGAGTTTTAACTTTTGCATTTGTGGATGCAGTGATCAACTGTGTTCACAGACAGTGGTTTTCAGAAGTGTTTCTGAGCCCATGCAGTGATTTCCACTACAGAATCATGTCTGTTTTTAATGCAGTGCCGCCTGAGGGCCCAAAGATCACAGCCAGCAAATACTGGTTTTCGTCCTTGTCCCTCACATACAGAGATTTCTCCAGATTCTCTGAGTCTTTTAATGTTATTATGTACCGTAGATGATGAAAAGCAGAAGTTCTTTGCTGTTTTACGTTGAGAAACGTTATTCTTGAATTGTTGCACTATTTGATCGTGCAGTCTTTCACAGAGTGGTGAACCCCTCCTCATCTTTACTTCTGAAAGACTCCGCCTCTCTGAGATGCTCTTTATACCCAATCATGTTACTGACCTGTTGCCAATCAACCACCAGGTGTTTTTTAGCATTACACAACTTTACCAGCCTTTTGTTGCCCCCATCCCAACTTTTTTGGAACGTGTTGTTGGCTTCAAATTCAAAATGGGCAAATATTTTTCAATAAACAATAAAATTCTCAGCTTCAACATTTGATGTGCTGTCTTTGTACTATTTTCAATTAAATATAGGGTTTAAATGATTTGCACATCATTGCATTTTGTTTTTATTTACATTTTGCACAGCGTCCCAACTTTTTTGGAAATGAGGTTGTATTAATTTGTGGCCTTAATATATTAAATCGTGGCATCAGTATAGAAACTTATCAATATGGTAACTCGTAGCATCAATATAGTTACTCGTAGCCTCAGTATAGCAACTTGTGGCGTCAATATAGTAACTTGTGGCCTCAGTATAGTCAAATCAAGTCAAACTTTATTTATATAGCACTTTTTACAACATATGTAGTCACAAAACAGCTTTACAGAAAAATCTGGCTCTGAGCTCCCATGAGTGTCGCCAATGGCAACAGTGACACGGAAAAACTCCCTAAGAGCAAGAGGAAGAAACACTGAGAGGAACCAAGACTCAAACCCATCCTGCTCTGGTCGACACCAGATAGCAAAAAGCATTAGTATAAAATACTAGAATACAGAAACGGGGAAAAACAGGTGGAGCAATGGTCAGATAGTGAGTCAGTTCATGCTGGTGAGGTTTGCACAGCACCTGATTTTACAGTGGCACCCAATCAAGGCAGAAGAACCAACAGCATCAGACACACAGGATGGCCAGCTGTTCAACTCTGCAAATACAGTAACTCGTGGCCTCAATATAGTAACTCGTGGCATCAATATAGTGACTTGTGGCCTCAATATAGTAACTCGTGGCATCAATATAGTGACTTGTGGCCTCAATATAGTTACTTGCGGCATCAATATAGTAAGTTGTGGCATCAATATAGTAACTCGTGGCATCACTATGGTGACTTGTTGCCTCAATATAGTAACTTGTGGCATCAAAATAGTAACTCGTGGCCTCAATATAGTAACTCGTGGCCTCAATATAGTAACTTGTGGCCTCAATATAGTAACTCGTGGCATCAATATAGTGACTTGTGGCCTCAATATAGTAACTTGTGGCATCAAAATTGTAACTCGTGGCATCAATATAGTGACTTGTGGCCTCAATATAGTAACTTGTGGCATCAAAATTGTAACTCGTGGCATCAATATAGTGACTTGTGGCCTCAGTGTAGTAACCCCTGGCCCCAATATAGTAACTCGTAGCGTCAGTATAGGAAACTGTGGCCACGCCTTATTATAAATAATCGTCATGTCACCTTAAGGGCTCCGTATGTTTCCTAGTGTTACCAGCGGATGTCAGTGTTTTAGGAAAGGGGCTGCTGTTCGCCCTGTTTACACCACAAACACACACGCGCGCGAGCGCACGCGCACACATCTGTCAAGCGCATGCCCGCGCCTGCAGACAGTGGTAATCAGTCAGTGAACGATGATTTACTGCAAACGTCCGAACGGAGAGCAGATCTGGAGTCGCCTTCAAACCCGTCACGGTAAAACCCCCTCAGCGGTCTAACAGCTCTCTCTCATGAGGTAATCCGGTGAGTCAGACCGCCTCAGATCTCTGCCTTCAGTGGGAAGCGATAGCAAACAGCAATAGCCGAGTTAGCCAGGCTAGGCTAACCAGCTGCGTCTGTGTTTTGGGCACGAAAACGGGGACCGGGCGAATAAATAAGCCACATACACGTCTTTGTGACTCGATTAGGTGCTGTGAAGGCTGGGGTTGGGTTTATTTGACTGCTGCTGGGTATTCTTTCGTAAGCTAAGGTAGCCTAGTTAGCTCGGCTTGGCTACCTTAAGAAGTCAGCTTCTTATTCTCCAGCTTCTTGTTCGAATTTTCCCGTTCCACCTTTAATGGCGCGAGCAGTTACAATCTGGCGCCAGCCAGCCAAGCAAGAAAGACAATAAGATATATGAATATGTGTAATATATCTATATAATATACATATATACGTGATTTATTACCCATTCACCCCCAATTCTCCACGTTGGTTTACGGCCATTCAGATAAACTGAGAGCCGGGCTGCGCTCCAATATCCCAAAACAGAACCTTACTTAACTGACGTTCAAGGGCGCTTAGCCAGTGCGTAGTGTTTA